GACAGCTACACCATAACCAGCAACCATTCGTCCAGAGAAGTTCGGGACACAGACAGCTACACCATAACCAGCAACCATTCGTCCAGAGAAGTTCGGGACACAGACAGCTACACCATAACCAGCGACCATTCGTCCAGAGAAGTTCGGGACACAGACAGCTACATTATAACCAGCAACCAGTCGTCCAGAGAAGTTCGGGACACAGACAGCTACACCATAACCAGCAACCATTCGTCCAGAGCCGTTCGTTCCTTTTCCGTGACATTCCTGTCTACTCCAGCGTCCCCCCACATAGACCATAGGTAGCCCACCACTTTGGTCGGCTCGTGCGCCGGGGCAAAGCGAACCAAGCTGCTGCTCACATACATCCATACAGTCCACAAGGTATCAAAGTGGTGTCCCAATCCTACCAAGTTACTGCTAACCCCAGATAAAGTCAACCGATTTAAGGCAGGGGTGCGCATTTGGAATGTGTGATCTACCTCTGAGGTTACAATCGGCCATGTGTGTGATGTTTGGGGTGTCTCTGAGTACGAAATCATGAGCAAGATACCTATCCTTGTGCTACAGCACACTAATGGCGTATCAGTCGTTCACCTCGAGATATCTACAATCTACACCGTCTATAGAGACCAAGAGGATATCTACAATCCTCTCTGTCTATAGAGACCTCGAGATATCTACAATCTTCACTGTCTATAGAGACCTCGAGATATCTACAATCCTCACTGTCTATAGAGACCTAGAGATATCTACAATCTTCTCTGTCTATAGAGTGTCCACAGAGATCAAGAAGATTTGTCTGGAGAGTGGGCCACTGTTCTGCGAGCTGTCGGAACAGCCACTGTCATCACATTGGCAACGTCTTTACATCGGAACACGCTGTTGGTATCGTCTGCAAACAGGGAGACGCAATTACCATGTAGAATGAGCACAGGCTTAAATATCAGCTACATGTGGATTTGCGAAAGGTTCTGACTATGCTGCAAATTTCGTCCTCGGTCCAATAATAGGCATATATGTAT